GCAAAATTCGGAGAATTTGGGAATTGTGCGTCAGACACTCACTATTCACATATTTTTCGTGAGCCCTTCAATCGAAGGGAGGTGGTGCTGAGATCGTCTACCGGTGACCGGGTTCATGCACGGTCAAGTGAATATGCCCTCACGTGAGCTCAAGTGCGTGAAGGAGGATGTGCTTTGCACGGGAAAAACGTGGCGATACGGCTGCAGTCGTTGTTGTGCGCGTCGTTGGCGGGCTGCTGAATCGCGATCCGTTGGGCTGGGATTCGTTGGTGACATGCGATCTTGTTCCTCAACGGTGTGCTGAACCACTTCAAACCCCCGCCGGCGTGTTCTGGGATTTGCCTGCTTCGACTGACGTACACGCTGAACAAGCAATCCGTGCAGGTAACCGCGGCCCGGCACACTCACGGAGGAGCATCGCTATTGACTGCACGTGGACCGTCGCTGCCCCTGCGCCTCCACACGCCGCTGTGCCTGGTCGACCTGTGTCATTGATTTGGATGATTTTTCGAAAAGTAGTGTCGTAGTATTTGCGTATTTTCGACGATAAAATTCTGCGATGATATATGTTGTAGTACTTGAACAAGGGAAATCAAAACCCATCCTCCTCACGCTTTTTCGACACACCAGGTTGGTCAAGCATGGCACCACCTGCGACTGAACGGGACGGCGAGGTGTCCGTCGCGGCGACAATGCTGGTATGACATGAATGCGATCACCTGGCCGCGGATCTGACGTGATGTGCAGGGCAGCGCAATGGCGGGCATTCTCGCTCGAGTGGTGTGCCACCCACTGGACGTGGCCAAAGCCAACCTTCAGGTCGCAGGGCAAGTGGCGTACCGCAACTCGTATCACGTGCTACAGTCGACCTTCCAGTACCCATCCATGACGTCCGTGGTGCTAGTGTTGATGTCTATCTTCTGCTGCAGGAAGGAAGGGGTGCGCGGACTGTACCGTGGGTTTGGCGTCATTTTGCTCGGGTCGGCTCCCGCGACGTGCCTCTACCTGACATCATACGACGTAACGCGACTTTCGAATCGTAAACGGCGTGCGCCTACCCGGCGTGTTCGTAGCAAAGCAAGAGGTGGCTGGAGTCGCACCCGGCGTTCCAGTCCAATGTGTTCGTGACGTCGTTTTCGGCTGGCGTGATGGCCGAAGCGCTGAGCTGTGTGTTTTGGGTACGCACGAGCATCGATTTCACGTTTGATGGGGTTTTCTGCAGGTTCCCATCGACGTTATCAAGGAGCGCATGCAAGTCCAGCGCAAGACGGGTGGAGGCGTGTTCTACAAGAATGCAGTGGATGCATGGCGCACGATTGCACGAACGGAAGGCGTGCGAGGCTTGTATCGAGGTTGGCGTCCCATACCCATGCATGTTTCTGACCGCGGACAGGCTACGGCGCCACGCTGTGGTCGTTTGGCCCGTTCTCGGCATTTTTCTTTTTGTTTTACGAAAAGGTAGCAAGTATTGCCATTCGCCTTCCTGCGCCATGGCCGACGTCGACGTTAGAACAAAGCCGTGGCCGAAGCTGTCCACGGCACCGACGACGTCCCGTTTGCATCGCTCTTGGCATGGTACTCGTGCAAAACGTTGATGATTCGTTTGTGGGACGACCAGCTCTGCCTAGCTCGGTCACTGCCAGCGCCGGCGCTTCCATCGTGACCAACCCGCTGGATCTGGTCAAGCTTCGCATGCAGGTTGTGCTTTGGCATTGACACGCGGTGCGATAACGTGCACTAGATCGAGCGGATGCAGCAGCACCCCACGGCCGCCACATACCAGAACACGTTCCAAGCGTTGCAACGCGTGGCCAGGTGAGGCTTCCATCGCTGTATTGAGGGATGGGATGCGTCGATGATATGATGATGGTGGTGGTATGTGGTGTAGGAAGGAAGGGTTCGTGGGTTTATGGAAAGGCGTTGGCGCCCGCGTCGCGTTCCAGGCCCCCCTCACTGGCTTGACCCTGGCGTTGTTTGAAAAGTGCAAGCACGTGTGTGCCTTTGCTGTCTAGTCGCCCAGTCCGTGTCATGGTGGTGGAGTGCGGCGCGATAATCGGCAGTGGTGCGGTCGCGCTCTCGGTTGCACCACTTGATATTGTCATGGAAATCGAACGCGAATTCAAAAAGGTCATCGGTGTCGAGTGTGGGTCGACATGGGCACCCCTCCCCGCAAGTCACTTTCAATGTTTTTATTTGTACGATGGGTGGGGCAGACAGGTAAATAGGCGGCGCCCTAGAACACCGACTGGTCCTCGGTGCGGCCAAAGAAGAGCCAATTGACGAACTGGTCCATGGAGGATGGAGGTTGCAACACGCCCTTGAGGATTTCTTGGTCGACTGCGATCTTGTTCTTCTCGCGGGTCGCCGCCGCCGTCGTGCTACGCTTCATGTCATAGGCCAGCCCGAGGCACGCCATGATATCGATGAAGCCCTTGGTCGGGTTCCACTGACCCGTGACGCCCATTTCACCTGTCGCGTAGTCGGTCGGGTACCGGTGGTGGTAGTTGTGCCAGCCCTCGCCGATCGCGCCGATCGACACAAACAGGTTCTCGACGGCGCGACTGTTGCGGTCGTACGGCTTGTACCCAAAGAAGTGGGCGACGCTGTTGACACACCACGTCATGTGCAACACCCACACGTGACGGTAGACGCCGCCGATCCAAAAGCCTTGCCACGCCGAGTTGAAGCAGAGGTAGCCCACCAACGTTGGGAACGCATAGCACATGACGAGAACGCTGGCCAGGTAGTGCTTCTTTTGGAATTGCACCAACGGGTCTTTTTCCAAGTCGGTGAAGTTCATCTTCTTGCCTTCTCGGAACACATCGGCGTGCTTGCGGACCATCACCCAACCCATGTGGGCAAAGAAGAAACCACGGCGGGAGTTGTGCGGGTCCGCCGTCGTGTCTGACCCCTTGTGATGCACGCGGTGGTCGCGTGACCATTCAAAGATGCTGCCTTGAAACGCCATAGAGTTGCACAGCGCGAGAAAAACTTGAAGAGGAAAACGCGCCTTGTACGATCGATGTGCCCACAGCCGATGAGCGCCGGCCGTGATGCCGAGGCCGGAGAAGAACCAGAGGCCGATCCACAGCGTCATGATCGACAGAAACGATGCTTCGGGGAGGACAAAGAAGAGGGTGTACAGCGCCATTGCGTGCCATACAGACAGGATTGCTACGTTGTACCACACGACCTCATCCCATGAGAAGGAAGGAGTTGGGGAGCCAAACACGGGGGCTCTCGCGCCGTCAGTCATCGGGACGAAGCGGCGGAGGGATGCCGGTGGGGAGGAAAAAGCCGCACTGACTGGATTTTTGCCCTTGTTTTTGTTGAGGTTTGAATTTTAGCGAATCAAATGTCAGTATCAACACTATATTTGCTTTTAGATCGCATTGATTGGTGGATATGTATGACCTGTCCAACCCTGAAACCTTTGAAACTGCACATGGTTCGAACTTCGAGCCGCGCCGTTTCGTACCGCAGGACCGCGGACGAGTTCCGACAGCACACCCGCCCCATGAAAATACCGACGGCAGAGAGCTCTCCCGTCCGTGGTGCATGCAAGGCAACCCACCGAGCTCGGCGGTCGGCGATTTTGGACGTCGATGTCGGCGTGGCAGATCGCACAACGAGCAGATGCGTCATTGCTCTGGACAAGCCAATCGTATGGCCCAACCGCTTGTATTGGCCTATGACACGGCTACAAATCCCAGACAGCGAGCGTGTGTTGCTGTTGTGGGGCTGGTTTTTCTCCGTCTATCGGGGTGGAAGGCCACTCCTCCTTTTGCGCAGACACGTGGTCGCGCAGCGCTCGACCTTTGCCTGCAAGGGCGAGGAAGGCTAAACGCGGTTGTTCGGACCTCAAGGACGAACAGCACCGCCCTTTCATTGCGCATGAGGTAGTGATGCTCGATCGTGGTGGTCTCGTGCGACAATTGAGTACGACCGACGTAACCAGGAAGGAACGAACTTCGGAAATTCACACGAATCGATAATTTTTATGAAACATCAATTCACGATAGTATTTCCTTGTATAAGTTAGTGCATTAATTTGCCCATCGTGTTTTCGCCTCCAAAAACTCCCAAAATATCGTAGTTGAAGCACATCGAGATGTCGCAGACGACAGTAATCTCAGTGTTTGCGAGCGCGGACGGCGCATTTCACTGCCAGAGGTGTCAAGAGATCGGCGCATGTGCAGCAGTGAATCAAGGGGGTTCTACGTCGGGTTGGGGAGGAGTTGGTGTAGCACAGGAGCAGCAACGCTCGAGACGGAACAAGCGATGACAGGAATGGTGCTGTTTTCGTGCGAACGGCATACCATTGATCTGGATGCTCCAGTACAATTGGATCGGTTAGCCACAAAAGCTGTCGGGGGCGGGCTGCGAAGGCTTGGCACTCAAGTCCAATGCCGACGTCGCTCCATGGTCCATGCGCGAGTACGACTGGAGGCGGTGCACAGTCGTGAGGAGGTCGCGGAACGCCTTGTCCACGTTGGCGCCGGTTTTGGCCGACGTTTCAACATACATCATGTGGTGCGACGCAGCATACGCCTGGGCTTCCATCGTGGACACGGCGCGCTTGCTGGCGTCGACGTCGGCCTTGTTGCCCACAAGCACCGTAGCGAGCCCCGGCTCGGCCACCTACACAAACCAACGACGCAGGAAGGGTTGAGCCAAGGCATGATGGAAGCGGAGGGGGACCCTTGCCTGGACGAGCTGGTCGAGCCACTTTTGAATCCCGTCAAACGTGGTCTTGTCCGTCACGTCAAATACAAGCAACGCGCCGACGGCCTTTCGGTAGTACGTGCTCATCATGGCATGGAATCGCTCTTGGCCGGCTGTGTCCCAAATCTGCGCCTTCACCTGGACTCCATCGACCTCCATCACTTGCGTGAGGAACTCGACGCCAATCGTCGACGCAAAATCTGTGCTGAACTCGCCTTTGGCCAAACGGCTGAGCAAGTTGGTCTTGCCGACGCCGGAATTCCCCAGCAAAATGACTGGACGCCGACGGCGTGAGATAGCTCGCACGGCGACCGTGGCGATAAACAGTATGCACCTTTGTTAACAGGGGGCTTGGTTCCTGGCGCGGTGGTGGTCGTCGCCGCTTCCGGCCGTCGCACGGCTTCGTCTTGAAACTTGCACGGGGGATTCGCCGCAAACGACGTGCCGTAGCTACGACCGACATGTAAGCTGCCCACGATTTCCTACAAACGCAAACGACGATGCAAACTCCACCGTTTGTCGAGTTCAGTGTACAGTAACATCATTTTGTTTGCGTCGGTGCCGTAGTACGCGACCAACGCGTCGACGTCCGAGAGCTTCTCGGGCAGGTTGCGTTCGGTGTAGAAGTCGGTGAGGAACTCGCGTGGGGTCATGGGGTCGGGCTCGAACATGCTCATGGATTGCACAAACTTGAAAAACGTTTGCGCCACCCGCTGCACGACGGGAGAAGACGCCCCGGACGCCGTTCCAGTAAAGACCGTCGACGTGGGCGTTGTCGACGTTCCCATGGACGGCGGCGTGATGGAAGCGGGAGCGGTGGCCATGGAGAAAGTCGTGCAACCAAAAGTGTTGTCGAGAGGGCAGGTGCGCGAGTATTTATATCGGCGCCAAGAATAGCCACCCGAGCCTGATGTTACCGCCATGAGGTTGTGTAGCTCTGAATCAGGCAAGAGTTGTAGCGCATGACAGGTGCCAACGCCGCTCCTTTTCAACGACCACGACGACGGATGGGAGCGAGTTTGTGCTTTCGCTGAGCAACACACATGCCAAAGGATGGATGCGCGCATGTTGTGCTCCATTCGATGCCCACTCCCCCGTCCGCCCGATGTCTTGGGTTCAACGTGGCGGTGGACTCGCAATCGCCTGGATTGGATCGACCGTGTGGTATCGCCCGTTTGCCCCGTCCCCCAGTTTAGAACAACGTACAAGGAGCAGCTCCTCACGACAGCACCAACTCTCGTCGACTGCGTCCCCTACGACTGTTGCGTGCCCCCCTTGCACGAAACCAACGATCGTGCAACCAGTCTGCCGACGAATTGATCTTTTTTTCCCAGGACGGCTGGACTTTTTGGATAAAAAAACCAAAAATTGACGAATCTTTTCTCGACATGGGCCAAAGTCGACGAAACACGCAGTAATTGTTGAAGTCACCGTGTCAACGTTCCCAGTCATTGGGTCGTTTCATGCATTTCCACATTGCGAGCCCTTGTGGCGCAGTTTGGATCTTGGCGCAAGCCAGCAGCCACTTGCCCCCCCCGTGTGCACGACCATGCGCTTCATAGTCGACGTCGTCGCTTCATTCACCCCAGCAGCCACTCACCGCGTCTGCGTCTTGGGAAACGTGCCAGGTTCGAGTGCTCGTGGTCTCGATTGACTGGACTTGCCATGTAGAACTGGGCGCATGGGATCCACGGCATGCAGGTACACACACACATGCTGTCGTCGTCAACGACCCAACGACTTTATTCGTCGATCGTATTCGCATGACGCCATGTTGCGGTCGACTCGTAGTGCTGTTGCAGCGACAAGACGGCAGCACGACGTGGACCGCTCATGTCGACGTGCGCACGTCAACCGCGATCGAGTACAAGTATGCCATCACGTCCATCCGCGACAACGCGTTTGTCGTGTGGGAATCCCTGCCGACGAATCGGTCGCTCGATCCAGGCCAACTCGTTCGTTCGCAGCGGGAGATGGCATCCCTGGGCGATGACGACGTGGAGGTGCACAGGACGATGCTTCCAGTCGATTCCCATCGAGCAAATATCGCCATAGGTGCATGACGGCTGGTTTGGCCTGGACACCAGTGACCTCGGCGACTGCTCCAAGCTCCATGTCGAAGTGCGTGTGTCGTCGTTTCCACAGACATGCGTGTGGTGGAGCGCAGCATGCGGTCGCGGCATGTTTTCGTCGTTCCACTGCTCGATCTTTCTCTCCATGGCCACAGCTTTACCTTGACTCGTAGGCGCGGCATGTCGCGGCACCTCAAACGCGGCTGGTGTTTGGCAGTCTCGTGGGTCGCGCGCCGATCACGCTGTTCGATGCGCCTCGCGCCAACGTGCATGTGGCAGTTCGCATTCCTCGCGAAGCGACGGCGCAGCAGGGCGACATAACGTTGTGGCCCCACACCACGTCGTTCCGGCATGCCGTCGATACGTCCGTGCCGCTGCATGCGCTGCACGCCAAGTTGCTCGGCAATTCGACCCATCACTATTCGTTGCACCACGCCGGCGGAGCTCCACCAAACGACATTGACGCATTGAGGGAGGTTGGACGCCCATCGCCGTTCGGTGTGGCGAAACTCCATTCATCACTCGTTACAGATGCCCGTGTTTATGACACTCGACGACCACGTCCTTGCCGACGTGGCGGCCGCCCTTGACCACGTCTCGTTCCAGCCAGGGCAAGATATCGTGGTTCCGGGACAGCCTCGACGGTAGGCAAAGCCGCAACAGCATCTCAACCGACTCTCGCCATCGCATGCGGCATGCTCGTCGGACGACTCACGGGGGACGTCCGTCGTAGGTACTGTCACTGGATCACTCAAGGACATGCAGACGTGTGCGGGCAGCGGACAACGGAAGGGCAGCACGTGTACTTGCAGTTGACGCCGCGGTCGTATTTTGGCGAAATGGTACGCATTGGCCCAACGGTGGACCTTGTTTTGTGCGGCATCGCATGCCGCTGCTGGAAACGCGCGGCGCTCTCATGGATGTGGCCCATCGCTAGGCCCTCTTTGGCGGTGTCGACCGCACCAGCCACATTCGCGTGTCGAACAACGACTTGCTCTCGTGCGTGCGGTTGGATCGCGCGGCCTTTTTGACGATTCTCGCCAAGCATGGACTGTGCCACCACGCGTTGTTGCAGCCGTACGTGCAACGCCTCGCGGCGCAACAGCCGCAGCTTCGACAGCTCGTGTCCGGCCCCAGTTGTGAGGCCGCCCCCATGCCGCCTCTCGACGATGCATCCCTCCAGGTGACCAGTCGTTGCCGTGGGCGATGGTTTTGTTCGACGTGACCACAACGTTTCGGCAGGTCTTTACCATCCACGGCACCCCTGCGTATTTTCGACTCGACATCATGGCCCATCCCTCGAACGACTTGGTTGGATCGTGCATGATCACTCGGTCGCAGGTGGCGATGGATTCCAAGCAAAGTCAAGGCATCCTGACATGCCCGATCCTGGCTCCTGGGCAGCATCACGTGGTGGTGGGCGAAGCTGCCTTTCAGTACCTTCACGTACGACCTCACATCCACCCGGCGAACGCTGTGCATGCTTCGAAACCCGCGCTCGAGAACGGGTTGCCGGCACATGCAACGTCGGGCGTCGCGCTGGACATTGGCCACCGCGGCCTTGGCCGGTCCTACTACCAAGTACGCACCCGGGCTAATCTTCGCCATGGCGTGCCCACAGCCACTGGTTAGAAACTCGGCCATCGCGTCAGCTCGATCCGGGAGAACACGCTGCCGTCGTTCATGATCGCGGGTTTCTCCGGCGCCGACATGGTGGAGTTCGACGTCCAGCTGTCCAAAGACTGCGTCCCGATCGTGTACCACGACTTTTTCTTCAAAGCCAAGCTTGGCACGCGCGTCGCGGCGGCCACCGTCATGACCAAGATGGGCCTCCACGACTTGACTTTGGCCGAGCTCAACCAGATCGAGTGGCGCCACTGCGTTGAACCCACGCCATCGCGCTTACGATCGCTCGTGCGCAAGCATATGCCGTCCCTGGTCGGTCGTTGTCGCATGCCGACGCCGCAACGTCGTGCGATCGCACCCACGACACCGCGCGACGCCGACCGCATCGACATGCCAGACCTCGCGCCGTCCATGCAAGCGCTGTGCGACGCGTTTCCCACGCTCCGCCTGGCGCTCGACCACGTTCCCCTGTACGTGGGCTTCAACATTGAGATCAAGTACCCCATGGAGCTCGAGAACCGGCATCTTTGTGCATTGCCGGCATTCGAGGTGCGGTCCGCTCGATGTCGAACGGGTGGCTCGGACCACCTCTGCGTTGGCAACGCGAGCGATCGAGACCTGATGATGGCATGTGCATAGCTGAACGCGTACGTGGATGCGATTCTGGACGTGGTGTTCGAGTGTGGCCGTTCGCGCCACATTGTGTTTTCGTGCTTTGCCCCGGATGTGTGCGTCCTTCTTCGCGCGAAGCAGACCAAGCACCGCGTGTTGTTCCTCACATGCGGCACAAATGTACGTTGGGCACACGACCGCACCGATCTCGACGGACGCGCGTCGATGGATGCATGAATCGCGATGACAGACGTACACGTGATACGCTCGTTGGTAGATGGAACCCCATGTGTGGGACAAGCGCTGCATCGCGATCGAGCATGCGGTCGCGTTCAGCCAACTGGAAGGCCTCCACGGCATCGTGACCAACTCGGACCCGTTGCTCGAATCCCCGCAGCTCATCCCTGCTATCAAGAACAACACGACCCTGTCGGTGTTTACGTGGGGGGACCAGAACACAAGTCATCCTCATGTACCTTGATCGTCGTACGACGGACTCGTCGGTCGACTCACACCATGATGCGTGGTAGGTGCAACGCCAAAAGATGTACGGCGTCGACGGTGTTATCTCGGATAACATTGGCGACTTGACGCTTCGCGATCGCAAGCGGCGCCCGCGGGACACCATCGCAGTCCCCGCATACGCTGCGGCGCCGCTTTGACGACGCTCCGACCTCGATCGACGCGTGAGTGTTGAAAAGAAAAACGCTTGTCGTGGGTTTAACCATGTTGGTTCTATCCACAATAAAACGTTTATTCATGCCCCCCCCCCTTAGCACACCCACGCGGTTGCATGGTTGGAGTGCCCGCCAGGCGTCGTGCTTCACAGTCGGTCGCCATCGCTGCGCGCCCAGCACGCAAAGTTGCCTGTCGTAGCTCTGCAGGCATACGCCCAAACGTCGAGAGAATTTTCGGGTTGAGAGAGAGACTTTTCGTTGGAATTGAACACGCGCGCGACTGGACGAGTGTTGCATTGTCCATACATACAAGCATTCAGAACGCAGGCAAGCCGCCGAACGTGAACCACTCGTTCCTTCTAGCGATCCTTTGGAGTTTTGGGAGCGCCGACGGCATCGACACATGAAGCCTTGCTTGCATCGTTCATGGATTATTATTGCATCACAGGGGACAATCCACCAAAAAACGCACTTGCACCTATTAAACGTGTTCGACAGCCCGTTTAAAGTCCAACGACGAACCTCCGACCCGACGGCGGCGGAGCAGCATCATGGAAGGAAGCAAGGTATACATCCCCGATGACAAGTTCACGTGGGTGCCGGGGACTGTCGTGCGCACCGAAGACAGTGGTAAGCGTGTCCTGGTGCGCGTCACGAATCAAGAAAACACCACGAGCGACCGATGGGTCGACCTCCGCGACGACGGCATGCCGTCGGAACTTCCACTGCAAAACGACGACCCGGTCGTCCACGGTTCGGTCGACGACATGTGCGCACTGAACCATCTCCACGAGCCCGCGATTGTGTACAACCTCCGTGCTCGGTTTGCGCAACAGCGTCCTTACACGTACACGGGAAACATCGTCGTGGCGGTGAATCCGTATGCCAGGTTGGACGGTTTGTATTCGAAAGAAACGCAGCAAAAGTACATGGGGAACGATCGATCGAGTCTTCCGCCGCACGTGTACGCAACAAGCGCGTCGGCGTTCCAGTCCATGGTGCACTACGACCGCCACCAGAGTACGTACGCCACCACGCACGGCGTGCCATGGATGCGTCGTTGCGGCTTGTTTGTGATCTGTCGTTGCTGGAGACATGTCTCGACGAACTTTTCGACTTGATCCTGCACGTATTCCATCCACACGACCGTTCCTGTTCGAGCATGGGGTCGCATGGATTGTGTTGACGGAAATGTAGGCATCCTCGTCAGCGGCGAGTCTGGCGCGGGCAAAACGGAGACTGTCAAGATTCTGATGGAGCATCTGGCCACGATGAGCACCAAGACGGGGCCAAACTTGACGATTGTGGCCAAGGTCTTGCGCAGCAACCCGTTGCTGGAAGCGTTCGGGAACGCCAAAACCATTCGCAACGACAACTCGAGCCGCTTTGGCAAGTTTACGCAGCTCCAATTCGACGTCGACAACCAGCTCGTGGGCGCCAAGTGCCGTCACTACTTGCTCGAGAAGAGCCGCGTCGTCATGCAGACGCACCACGAACGCAACTACCACATCTTTTATCAATTGGTTGCCTCCAACGCTCCCCGGTGGCGGTTCCCGCCCCACGCAACCTTTGCCTACTTGAACGAATCCGCCGACAACGCGCCGTTCGTCCTGGACGGCGAAAACGACGCGGCCCGGTACGTCGCGACGCGAGAAGCGTTGACAACGATCGGGATGGCAGAAGCGGACCAGCTCGCGCTGCTCGATGCGCTGGCGGGAATTTTGCACGTCGGTCAAGTCACCTTCACCCCAAAGCATGACGGGGAAGGCGATGGAAGTGAAGCCGTGATGACTTCGCACGCATGGACGTCGACGTGCGCGTTGCTCGGCCTCGACCCGACGGTGTTAGCCACGAGTTTGTGCAACCGCACGGTGAAAGCCCGTCTTGAAGTGTACGTTGTGCCTCTCAGCATGGATCAAGCCCAGACGAACCGCGACGCGATGGCCAAGGAAGTGTACGCTCGATTGTTTGGGTATTTGGTACGTCGTGCCAGACGAGGCGGCGGCGTGCGCGCGCACGTCGGGAGGATTGGATGCATGTCTTGCGTGGATGTGGGCCACGAACGAGGATGTAGTTGCCTTGGCCCAAAAACACTCGAATGGCTTGAGCACATTTCGACGTCCGTTGTTGAAGGCAATTCGCTCGGTCGGGACTTCGTCGCGCGCACGCGTGGCTGACCTCGACGAACTGGCCAAAATCGTGCCGTCGATGTCATGATGGCTGAGAGTTCTTTCTATCGTGTGTGTGTGCCGCCGATCCTCTGACCAGGATCGAGACGGCGTTTGGCGTCGTGGGCATCTCTGGCCATCGCGCTGACTGTGTGTGCGGTAGGTCCGGTGCGTAAACGACTCGACGTCGAACGACCACGCCATGGTAAACCACATCGATCTCCTCGACATTTTCGGATTTGAAGCGTTCGCGACCAACCGGTTTGAGCAATTTTGCATCAATTTTGCCAACGAAAAACTCCAACAAAAGTTTACGCACGACGTGTTCAAGACCGTGCAAGAGGTGGGTGGGTGGCGCCATCCCAACGCGGACGGCGACACTCTTGTAGGAATACGAACAAGAGGGCCTCGGATGGACATACGTGCGATTCCAAGACAACCAAGACATGCTGGACCTGCTCGAAGCACCGCTCGGCGTCATTGCGCTCCTCAACGAAGAATGCATCCGCCCCATGGGCAACGACCTCACGTTTTGCTCGAAACTCGCGTCGACGCACGACGTCCACCCCCGACTCGACAAACAAAAGGCGCGGGTACGCTGCTTGCAACGTTGGATATCGATGGCCTCGCACGACTGTGTGTGCCACAAAATACCATCCAACGGAACGCTTTATGGCATCCAAGCATGCACAGGTCGCGTTCCGTTTGGAATGGTTTGTATGACGCGATCTGGCCGAATTTGTTGTGTGTGTGGGCATTCCTGTCGGCGTCGCCATGGAGTATATGCCGAAATCCGTGCTGCATTTTGCATGGGGAACGTTGGCGCGCGCAAGAGTCGGTCGAAACTCATGCGCGCGCGTGTTGTAGCTGAGTGCGTCCCATTTTGCTCTCAAGCATTATGCTGGCACGGTCATGTACAGCGTCGACGGGTTTGTGGACACCAACAAAGACGCGCTGTCCACCGAAGTCGTGTCTCTCCTGGCCACAAGTACAAACCATCTCGTCCAGCAAGTGTTTAGCGTCGAAGCCACGCCCCGTGCGTCGACAGCGTCGTCGATTGTCAGCGGCCAGCGTCCCCGTCGCGGTTCGATTGCGTCGGCGTCCAGCTTTATGGGTATAAACGCTTCCGTCGTTTTCCCGACGTGTGGTCGCTTCGTTGTTGTGTTCATCGCGAGGAGCAACGTCCATGTTTTCAGTGGCGTGCCGCGGACGTCATGCTGACGATCGCGTAGGGGAGACGGTCGTGTCCAAGTTCAAGGCGCAGTTGGCGGACCTCATGGCGGACATTGGCGCGACGCAAGTGCACTACATTCGATGCATTAAACCGAACGCGACCAAGTCGAGTGCTGCGTTTGATATGCCCCAAGTCGTCGACCAACTCCGGTGCGCAGGCGTTGTCGAAGCCATTCGAATCTCCCGCGCCGCGTTTCCAAACAAATTGTCCCACGAGCGCTTTCTCCAGCGCTTTGACGTGCTCAAAACGGACACGACACACGGCAAACATGCGGCGGTCACGGTCGGCGCTGCGTGCATCCAACTCGCAACCTTGTTGGTGGGACAGCCCGAGTCGCCTGCCTCGTTTGTGCTCGGGTCCGTGCACATTTTCTTTGCCGCCGGCGTGTTGGAAGGTACAGCAGTGCGTGTGCGTTCGAGTCCATGGACGTGGCGTGCCTGAGCTTTGTCCTGTTGGGAAGTTGACTGCTGATGATCGTTGCGGGCTTTGTTCCATTCCAGCACGATTCGAGACGCTTCACGGAGCCTTTCGTAGATCTCGAAGCGAAGCGGACGGACGAGATGCATGCGCGAGCCACCGTGCTTCAGCGCGTGGTGCGAGGGTACGCCGATCGTGCCTTGCTATCGTCGGCGTCGTGGCCATGACCGTTCGTGATCCGTCCTCACCGAATGTTTTGTCTCGAGTAGATGGCTGTGCCGTCGATGGTTTCAAAGTCTACGGGCTGCGGCCAGGCTCGTCCAAGCCCGATTTCGCCAGCACAACCAAACGAGATGGTTTCAGCGCATCCGACGCCGCATCGCTCGCTTTCAAGCGGTGTGGCGTGGTCGGCAGTGCCGCCAACTCTTAGCGCTGCAAAAGTTTACGGCGGCCGTCGTGATGGTGCAGCGCAATTTCCGCAAGTACCGCGCCAAGACAGAGTACGTCAAGTTTCGCCAGGCCGTGATTTTACTCCAAGCGCAAGCCAAGCAGCGCAAGCAGCAGGCCAAATTCACCGCGCAGAAACGCGAACTCCGCGCCCAACAGAGCATGGAAATGGACCTCGTGGCGCTGAAAACACGCCTCGAGGAAGAAAAACATGCCAAACGCCTGGTGGCGCGCCAGACGTCGGCGACTCCAAGACCTGTCGCGGCGGTCGTGGAGCCGTCGACCGTCGTCACTACGTCCTTGCCGAACGTCCCCCCCGCAGCGAGCATTTCATCGAGCGTCGTGGGGGACGTGTCGTTGTTGGTACGTTCCAGATGAGTGAGTGCATCACGCCCCCATCACGTGGGGGTGGCCCATCGAGAGATATCAGGATGGTTTGTCTGCATCTGAATGCATGAAATGGAGTGGTGTTGGCGATCGTGATGGGGCTTGTCGTGTGGACGTGAAGAAGGATGTTCGCGAAGAGTTTGAGGAACCCAACGCCAACTCGTTCCACTCGTGCGTGCTATGGTGATGGCCTTGTCTGCTTGCATTATGTATCGGTTGTGTCTGGTGGTTTTGTGGCCGTCAAGGTCTTGGCTTGGTGGTTTTGGCCATGTTGTAGCATGCATCGTGCTTGGTGGGTTGACTTGAGTCCTCTCTGCCCCCATGTCCACGTGTGGCACGAGTAGCGCCAACTCCTCCGTGTGAATGACGTAGGATGAATCGGGACGGATGCTGGAAACGCTGCAGCGCGAAGTCGTCAAGTGGCGCGACATGCACGACCGGGACGTGGCCGAGATGGACCAGCTCAAGAACGAAAACAAACGGATCAAGGACGCGTACACGGCGGCCGGCGCGTCGTTTGCGGCGCTCAACCAGCACAACAAACAACAGTCCAAGGCGAATTTGCGCCTCATGTCGACCCACGCCGCTCTGATCAAGTCCCAGGAAGAAAAGATGAAAAAGTACCAAAAGCAAATTGCCGACTTGAAGGACGAGCTCAAGGCGACCAAGAGTAGCGCAATCCCCAGCACGCACGCGGTACAAGAGGTGCGTGAAAATTGAAGGTCGGTGCAGGGCTTGAGCGGGACGTGTGTGTGGCGCAGACGATCCTTCAACTTCTGACCGACCACCACGTGCATCAAGATGTCGTGGCCAAAGTTCGCCAAGCGTTTGAGGCGAGTCTGCCACACGCCCCCACCACCACCCACCACCGACGCATGTACGCCAGACCCAGCCAACGTGCATCTCGCCCATCGAGGATGGATTCCACTCGTGCATGTTTTGGCATAGGTCGTCGTTGACGCCATCCACATACGAACCGGCGGTCGTGGCGATCCAGCGGCGTGGGTCGATAGCAGCGTCGACAACCACAACGACGACGGTATCGAGCGACGTGCGCGGGTCGAGTCAAGGGATGCATACCAGCAATAGTACGGGCAACGCCGATGCTCGAGGGAGCTGGGTCCTGCCCAAAGACGACGGGTCGCAGCAACATGGAGGCAGCCACAACATTTACTACGAAGACGATCCGAACCGCAAGTCTGGGCTCGGCGGCATGTTCAAGAAAATGTTCAAGAAGAGCGAGAATTAGCCGTGTTGTCGTCGATCACTTGAACCCAATAGCTGTGGAAACCCATTCCTGTGCATCCTCCCCTGCATCTCCCACCGCGTCGGGCGATGGGTTTGCTCCAAAGTGTTGTCGGGATGTGTGCGATGCGACGTGGATGATTCGTGGCGTTGCCATCGTTCTGCCGCTGTACGGCGAGTACTAGACCAAGCAGGCATCTGCCTGAACTAGAGCGAACTTGCACCGCCCGCCTGTGCGTGCTGAAAACAGCTTGTAAGTAGATCACTTGATGCCGGATCCGTCCCGCGTTGGCTGTCGATGCGTTGCTGGGGGAGGCTGGATGGTATACCCACGCCCCGTCGTGGGGGGATCGGGCGATGGACAAGTCGAACAGTTCGCTTGGGAAGGCAAACGTCATCGCAAAGGGGAAGCGTCGGGGGCAATGCTGGAGTGTTACCATGTGCCGTGGACCACGTGGAGTAGCATGGAGAGAGCGGGGGGATGCGCGTCATGCCGAGGGGTTCTTGGTTCGACGGGCGCAGCAGACTGGACATGGCCCCAGGCCCGACCGACGCTGCACAACTGGGGGTGCGAACGGCGAGCGTGGGGAGGTGAACGATGCCTGCCGGACCAACGTGTAGCCGAGATTCGAGGGCCGATGCACAGACATCGCGGTCGATGTGTTCATCTGCCCAACGAGGCACTGGAGCGTCAGTCGATCGACGTGGCCACTGCTCGACTGGAGCGACCGTCATGAATTTGCCGACACGATTCTCGCAGCGGATGCGGCCACATTCCGCCACGGGTCGTGCGGATCGTTCGTTTCCGTCCGTGGACCACGACAAGATGTCACGCGCGGCAGACGCTTTGTTCGTTGGCGAATAGGCTGCAGCCAACAGTTTGACCAGTGGCAAGTCGCCGTGTTCTCAACTCGACCGCGACGTTGGCGCGTCCAGGTCGTGGTGCTGGGCCGTTGGGAGAAGAAGACAGGGGCACGACGGACAGGTTGCTGGTGGAAGGATCAGGCATGGGACGCGGCATCCACGTGAACCGTTTGCTCGATCCGGCGGCTTCGTCGACGAGTTCTCTCGTCGAAGAAGGTGACGGCGGCACACCGTGCACACCTGGACTCCAGATTGTATTTCGATCAAGTGGGCTTGCACCGCTGCGACGGTGACGCTAGAACTCGTTGCGACTACCGCGCCGCACGTATAGTAGTTGTGCGCTCGTGCTGTCTCAACGATGGAGGTCGCGACGTCGTAACAGTCGATCTCTACGTGTGACGTGGTAGGCAACGAGACAGCGGCCGGAAACTTGGACCACATCGTCGTGCTGGTGCAATACAAAGTCGTGGTGCAGAGCCCTTTGCGCCTCAAGATGTAGCCACCGTTGCCCGCTGGTTGAAGCGTGCACTTGGCCAGCGGAAGCATTGCGACGGTATGGGCGTCAGATGTGGTGAGTTGGATGGATGCGCCATCGCGGACTGTCAGCGTCGTCAATGGCCAGTTGGCCGGGTGGCGTGGCCATGGATTTTGTGTGTGATTTGAACGCGTAGGTCCACCGAGTAGTCGTGCGCGCCACGCAACAGTGTGGTTGGAGGGGACTCCTTGGCCATTCCCAGCACCAAGTAGTCGCAGAATGCAGTCTAGCAACGCACACACTCTCCTCCCGCGAATCATGGCGCTTCAGAGATTCACAACCCTGCGACGAACGTGCTGCACACAGAATTTCAAACGCTTTTTTGAACAAATATCGAAAAAAAGCCCCATTGGACGATTAATTCTATGTCCAATTTAGCGAAATGACGGAGAAAATGGCTCATTTCGACGACACGATATTTCTTTTTCAAGCTATATGGCCCCACACCGTGTTGTCGCATGTGTACCTCTCACCCACTGCGTTGGGAACAATGTACAAATTGATGCCCAGGTCGACTCAGCAGAACTTTCCAAGTCCACC